GGCTCGGCTCTATCCAGAAGTGATTCACCCGCCGGGTGAGCACGAGGTTCTAAAAACATCATGAGTCAGTCATCTCGGACGGAACGCGAGCTCAAATTCGCGGATGTAGATCACCATGACTTAAGGGAGAGGCTGAAAAGCCTGGAAGCAGAGCCCCAGGGCCCCAGAAGGCTTGAGGATAATTGGGTCTTCGATCGAGATACCGAGCTCGTCGACACCGGAAGCATTCTGCGGCTTCGGGTCGATCGGAGCGGAAATTGGATTACGTTCAAAGGTCCCGCAAGCTATGAAGGCTCGGTCAAAGTCCGGAGCGAGATAGAGACTCCGGTCAACGATATCGATGCCATGCGCGGTATCCTCGATGCCTTGGGATATCGGCAGATCTACCGTTATCAGAAGTATCGAGAAGAATGGCTGTTGGGCTCGATCGTGATCTCGTTGGACCACACCCCAATCGGTGATTTCGTCGAGCTTGAGGGCGATGGTTGCGAGGCCGTGGCGAAACGATTCGGACTGGCTCCCGAAGACGCTGAACGGCGGAACTATCTGCGTCTCTACGCCGACTATCGCCGAGAGAACGAGGATGTGCCTGAAGATATGATCTTCAAATCCTGAGGCAAATCCTGAGGATCTTCTCGAACAAGGTTGAGACGTTCGGTGCGGAAGAAATCCAGTGAAGAAATACCGCCTTCGTGCTCTGGTGTTGACGGCAGGCTTCGGGACCCGGTTACGTCCCTTGACGTGTTTCATGCCCAAGCCTCTGCTACCGGTATGCGGTGAGCCGGTCACTGGACGAACACTGCGCAGCCTGGGCTCGATTGGATGTGAGGTGGCGGTGCTCAACACCCACTACCTCGGGCCCATGATTCCCGAATACTTCGGCAAGAGCTACTTCGGCCTTCCCCTGCGGTACAGCCACGAGCAAGAGATTCAGGGAACCTACGGAGCCCTCCACGGACCCCGCTCGATCCTCTCCAAAGCCGATGCGGTGATCATGATCAATGGCGACAGCCTATGCCGTTGGCCTTTGAAATCACTGATTCGCAGGCATCTTAAATCCGGAGCTTCGGCAACACTGCTGCTTCACCGCAGAGCCCCCGATGACGCTTTAGGGGGCGGCGTGGGCGTCGACCCGTCCGGACGGGTGATTCGAAT